CTTGGAGAGTATCCGATGTTCATTAGAGAGAGTTTGGAAGAAGATGATGCCATTGTTTCTCTTATTTGAATGTTTAATCCCTTCAGAAGAGTCTTCTGAAGAGTCTTCAGAAGAGTCTTCTGAAAAGTCTTCATAAGGGTATTCCAACGATTCTTCAGAAGAGTCTTCTGAAAAGTCTTCATAAGGGTATTCCAACGATTCTTCCCTTTTTAGGAGTTGTGATGCTCTCTCCACTTTATGATGTTGTGTGTTGTACGTGTGTTTCAACAAAGGGAGAGCAAGGAGTATTTATAATGGGAATAAACCAAAAGTCACAACTCTTCATATTTGTCCTAGAGGGTTACAAGGCTGGGTGTATTCTGCTTCCCACTGGTAACTCCAGTTTGTAAGCAACTGCTCCAATTTTTTCTATTACTGGAAAAGGTCCACAATATTTAGGACTTAATTTCCACATTTTTATTTCTTCATGCTCATCTGCCTGTATGATTTAAGTTTCAGATATACCAAGTCTCTTATACTCAACTCACGTTCACTTCTCCCTTTGTCAGCTAACTGTTTCATTCTCTGTTTGGACAAATTGAGTTGATATTTGAGCCTTTCAGAAATTTCTTGTCTTCTTTCAAGTTCATTTTCTACTCCCACTACTGATATTTCTGAATAGGGTCCCAGATTTAGTAGAGGTGATTTATAACCAAACAGTGCTACAAAAGGACTCATCCCATTTGCAGTATGATAACAACTGTTATACCACCATTTGGCTAAAGGCAACCATTTACTCCAATCCTTAGGAGCCTGTCCACTCATACATCTCAAATAGTTTTCTAAACATTGATTCACCTTTTCTGTTTGCCCATCAGTTTGAAGGTGATAAGCAGTGCTTAGGTGGTGATGTACTCCCAGAGATTTAAACAATTCCTTCCCGAACATATTGGTAAATAACTTATCTCTATCAGAGATAATAGACTCAGGTAAGCCATGGAATTTGCAAATCTGATTCAGGAATACTGTAGCTATAATTGAAGCAGTGAAGGGATGACTTAATGGAACAAAATGAGCATATTTTGTAAATTTGTCAACCACAACTTATATTGCATCATACCCTCCAGATTTTGGCAACTTTTCAATAAAGTCCATTGTTATATGTTGCCAAGCTTGTTGTGGCATTGGTAAAGGTTGTAATAACCCTGGGTTTTTAACATTCTCATGCTTACAAATCTGGCAAATAGAGCAACACCACCACTTCTTCTACTGACTTCTTAAGTTGTGGCCACCAAAAAATGTTTTGTAGTCTCTATTCCTGAATGACCTCCTGAGGGCTAGCATGTATCATAGTTATAACCTTATTCCTTAGATCCCCATATGAACCAACATACAGCCTCCCTTTGTACCTCAATATTCCATTACAGTAAGCGTAGTAGCTCATGTTATAAGGAGTGCTTATAAGCTGTAAAATAGCATCCTCAGCTTCTTTATCTTCTTTATAACTCTCAATCAATTCTTCCTGCCATACAGGTTGAATTACTCAGATAGAGAAAGATTCTTCCATCACCTGATAATCTTGTTGGTCTCTTCTGGATAGGGCATCTGCCACCTTATTCTCTTGTCCTTTTTTGTATTCTATCTTGTAGTCAAATCCCAGCAGCTTGGTTAATACTTGTGTTGAATAGGAGTAGAAATCCTTTGATCAACCAAGTCTTTGAGACTGATTTAGTCTGTTCTTATTATGAAAGGAGCATGCAACATTTAGGCCCTCCATTTTTCAGTAGCTAATAGTATAGCTAGAAATTCTTTTTCATAAATGGATAGCCCTAAGTTCTTAGGACCCAGTGCTTTGCTTATATAAGCTAAAGGATGACCCTCTTGTAGTAATACAGTCCCCAACCCTTCATAGCATGCATCAGTTTCCACTACAAAGGTTTTATTGAAATTTGGTAGTTGTAGGATAGGTGTAGAACACATGGCTGCCTTTAATGCCTCAAATGCTTGCTGAGCAGTTTCATTCCATTTGAACATCCCTTTCTTAGTCAAATCAGTCAAAGGTTTAGCTTTAATTCCATATTGATAGTAGAATTTCCTAAAATATCCAGTCATGCCAAGAAATCCTCTTAAAGCTCTGAGATTAGAAGGTACTGGCCAATCAACAATACTCTTGATCTTTTCAGGATTCACAGAAACCCCAGAAGAACTAATAACATGTCCCAAATACTCCACCTGTGACACTCCAAATGCACACTTGGATCTTTTAGCAAAGAGCGTATGTTGTTGCAACAACATAAAGACCTCTCTCAAATGCTGCTTATGTGTCTCTTTATCAGAACTGTAGATCAATATGTCATCAAAAAACTAAAACAAATTGTTTCAAGCAATGGCTGAATACATTATTCATGAGGGCTTGAAATGTAGTTGGTGCATTTGTTAATCCAAAGGGCATCACTAGCAGTGATGAAAGCAGTTTTCTCAATGTCTTCTTGCTTCATCCTAACTTGATGGTATTCAGCCCTTAAATCAATCATAGAGTAGATTGATGCTCCATGTAGCTCATCCAACAAATCATCTATCAAAGGAATGGGGTAGTTATTTTTTATGGTCACAGAATTGAGCTTTCTATAATCAACACAAAATCGCCAAGTTCCATCTATCCTTCTTTTTTACTAGTAACACATGACTAGAATAGGGACTGTGGTTATGTTGCATAATCCCAGAATTGAGCATCTCTTTTACCAGACTCTCTATTTCTTGTCTTTGCAGGTACGGATATCTGTAGGGAGCTTGCTTGAAAGGTTTCTTCCCTGACTTGATAACAATATGATGTTCACAGTCTCTTAGGGGAGGCAGTTCTTTAGGTTCCTGGAAGATTGCATGAAAGTTCTTAAGTAGTTCTTCCAGTTCCTCATCTTTATTTTCCTTTTCTTCTTCTTGTATGGAGATAACCATACATAAGTATCTAGAGACCACACTATTCTTTTTGTTCCATAACCCTTTCATTTTCTTTCTAGATATCATTTTCACTGAAATTTCTGGTTGTATCCCTGACACTACTACTTTCTTCCCTTGGTGGTCAAAAGTGATGGAATGATTGTCATAGTCAAGCATGATTGGCCCCAAACTTTCATCAAGTCTACCCCCATGACCATATCATATTCTCCAAGTGGCAGTATTCTCAAAGTAGCCGAAAAAGTATGTCCAGCCATTTCCCACTCCAAATTAGAACATTTAGAGTTACACTCTATTTTACCTCCTCCTGCCACAGCCACTTGCAAAGGATTGGTCACTTCAATATTACAATTGAGTTTCCTTGCTGCTCCCGGATCAATGAAACTGTGGGTGCTGCCTGAGTCCACCAATATAGTTAAATGATTGTTCTTCACTTTCCCTTTCAATTTAATGGTGTCAGTGGGTACTTGTCCTTTTAATGCATGTAGAGATACCCCACAATCTGTTTCTTCTTCTTCACTATCTTCTTGTAGAACTGATTTAGTAGTTTGTTTTTATCTTCCTCAGTTAATTGTATAACAAAAACCTTTGTACATTTGTGTCCCAATGTATAGGTTTCATCACAATTAAAGTATAGCCCCCTTTTTCTTCTTGCACCCATTTCCTCCTTACTTAATCTTCTTACTGGCAGAGATTTATCAATCACATTTACTCCTTTAGTCTCATTTACTCCTTTTCCCCACACAGCTTTCTGACTTGCCCTTCGTGTCCTTCCCATTGCTTCTAACAAAGACTCTTGCTTCTTAGCAATCACAAAGGCTTGATCTAAGGTCTCAGGGGCTACAATTTCAACCATGTGTCTAATCTCCTCTTTCAGTCCACTTAAGAAACTCTTAAGGAAATAGTATTCATTCAAGTGTTTGTTCCTTTGTAGCATAAAGGATTTTAACTCTGCAAATTTGTCTATATACTCCTCCACCTAGCCTTTGTCTCAATTTGTTGAATTCTCCAATCACCTCATTCTCCTTCGAAAATTTATCCATAAACAAGATTACAAATGCTTCCCATCCCATAGATTCTCTGCCCACAATCCTATCCATATACCAGTTTTCTACAGCACCTTCTACATACGTCCCCACTAATACAATCTTATCAAAGTCAGATATGTGATTGAATAGAAAACAACGCTAGCATCTCCTAATCCAAGCTCTTGCATTAATCCCATCAAAACGAGGAAAATCAAGCTTAATACCTTTATAGGTATTAGGGTTTGTAGGAATTAACCTGGAATCATGGCTTCTGTTGGAGTAAACAGTTTGGATAGGCGTCTTGTTGTGGATGCTCTTAACAGCGTTCATCATTTATTTGAATTGCTTATCTTGTTTCTCCATCATATGTGCAACATCAGCTTTCTGCGAATCGTGAATCTTTTTCAACTCCTTCTTCAGATTCGTCAGGTTTGCTTCTAATTGAGTAATACGATCAGTATTACTCTGTTTTGCCATGGTTGGATCAGCGCTCTGATGCCAATTGTTGTGAAAGATGAAGTATAGAACTCAATCACAACGAAATATAATGAAAGGGAAGAGAATGTATGAAACTTAGAGAGAAAGAAGAAGAAGAATGATCATTCTCATTATGCTTCTCGTAGACTGTACATCTCTCCTACTTATAGGAGTTATTCCTTCTGTTAGTTAGCTAACAGTTGGTTAACTATCTAACTAACACCTATCCACTAACGGATACAACAACTAACAGTCTACTTTCCCTTGCCAGCGGGGTATTTCCATCCTTGAGTGATCCACGTAGCTATATCCTTACCAGCCTGGAATAGTGAAGCCTTGGTCTTGACAAAGTAAAAATAAAGTGACTTTTGTATTGTAAACGATAGTATTATATTTTTTCACTACTTCGGTTAACATTCTTGTTCATAACGACTTAAAGGTATGATGGATCACCTTTAGGGGTAGAAAATAGACTTGAAGGCCATAAGTGTCAAACAAAATATAAAACCATAATACCAGATCTTAAGTGAGGATTAGACTTGAATGTAATATAATCTCTTGCTGGTAAGAAGCATCACAAGAAGAAAACATCATGAACAATATGAGATGACCTCATTCACTAGTTCAGTTAACATTCTCGTTCCAACATACGACTCGTCCTGGTTATACTGACAAGTTGGTCGCTCAAACAATATGGTGGATATCTTGTAAAACTTTTTGTATGCTTCTATGCTTTTGTCGTCAATAATTTATCGAATCGGGGTTTTTACATTGCACTTTACCCCGAGGATATGAATTTAGAATCTTATGGGAAAAAGGTGATTGAAAAAACATCAAGCCAATGCTTGTGATGCACCAAGCTATGTTAAAGGATAAGGCAACCCAGGGTATTACTGTATGCAGAGAGTTGGTGAAGAATCTAAACCCAACTCAACTGGTTCAACCCAAAGATAGCTAAGAGCAGTGACCACATCACTCATCATTGGCCTTAAGGCTGGATCTTCATTCAGGCACATTACTGCCACTGCAATTGCTTGGGATAACCCTTTCTTTGGAAAGTTCCCTTTAAGATTCGGATCAGCCAATTCAGAATGCCTACTTGGATCTTGGGAGATCGGCTCAGCCCATTTGACCAGCATTTGATCATTGCCACATTTGGTTGTAAAGATGGCTCTCTTTCCTGTGATGAGCTCAAGCAACACAACTCCAAAAGTATAAACATCAGATTTGACAGTTAACTGACCTGTTCTTTGGTATTCAGGGGCACAATAACCATACGTCCCCATTACTCTCGTAGATACATGACTTTTGCCCCCCATAGGCCCAAGCTTGGCTAACCCAAAATCAGAGAGCTTGGCATTGTATTCCTCATCTATTAGAATGTTTGAAGACTTCAAGTCGCGGTAGATGACAGGCGAGTTGGCTTTTTCGTGTAAATACTCCAAACCTTTGGCAGCATGTAATGCGATTTTCATTCTGATCGACCACTCCAATGGGGCTTGGTTTGGTGGAGTATCTGACAAAACATCAGCATACATCTGACTCATTATTAAATGTGAATGAAACGACAAGCATCTAAGTCCCAAAAATTTAAGAAACCATGTGTAACTCCTTTATCGAGTCATATTGGTTAACTTGACAAAACACCATTCATTTTTATAGTAAGGTCGAGCCTTGGAAACATCATATTTTATGATACACATGATTTATCTAGTAACAAAAACATTGGGTCAATTTAACCCTAGTTAGCTTTTTCCCGTTTTAAACGCGTTTTAAACACGTACCGTTTTTTTGAACAAAAAAACACGTTCAAAACGAAAAATAATGTCGGTCCGTTTAAAAAGGAGAAAAACTCTTACTTCCCGTATAAAACGCATTTTTCCCGAATTTCACTAAAAATAGAAATATGAATTGTTCAATTGAATGAACGCATTAAATGCATAGGAGATCAACAATAGTGTAAAAGCAAAAAAGAAAAGCTCCTCTCTATGAGCTCGTGTTTTTGTATTCTTACAATACAATTATTAAGCACTAAAGTTAATTGCATGATGGCTAAAGCTAGCATCCCGTATTTTACAAAAAAATGAAAACATGAAATGATCAATTAAATGAACGCATTAAACGCATAGAAGATCAACAATAGTTGAAAAGCAAAAAAGAAAAGCTCATCTATGTTCTCAAGTGTAGTTGGTGCAAAAAAATTATAAGTAATAATCATGAGATATATTAAATTATTAACGAGTGTTATGTTGTTTAAGTGTGTCCTCTAAAAATTATACGAGTAAACACTTCTGCATCTTCAATATAAGTGTTATTTGCAATATTTCATCTCTTCCGCGAGTATAGTGAAGGAAAAAGGAATAAGCAACAAGTATGAACTAGCTCCCCTTCCTTTTGCAATTTCAGCTTCCTTTTCAGTGATTTCTCGAGATCTAGAAGAACCCTAATACGTGAAAAAATGGCTTCCAATGAGAAGTAAAATCAGACCATCCGCTTTCACAAAAGAAATCAATGCAAAGTTGTTCTGATGATTGTTGCAATGAAAATGAAAAGAATGAAAAAAAAACTGCGAAATTTTCCAGCGTACGGAGATGACTGTTGCCGGAGACCGGAGGCAGCATTGGGGTAGGGCTGTGGATTGGGTAGTTGGATAGAAAATAGTATTTCACCCGTGCGTTGCACGGGATGTAAAACTTCAATATAAATAAAAACCTTTAAATGTAATTATAGATCATATTATATTTTATCACGTAAAAGAGAGTAACCATTAATATAATAACAAAAAAATATTAGAAGTTTAATAAGCACACTTTACAAATTATTGAAAACTTCCTTACAGACAATACTTTTTGCGGTTTTTTTATTTACATGCATCGTCGCATATCACAAACTTAATGCTATTGCATTTAATAGTTAAATAAAACAGATAACATTAAATTAAACAGTATAAATAAATTAAACAAATTTATGTTTTGCAGTCTCTAAACCTAAGTTCACTCTTTAGTTTATAGTAATACATCACATTTATGGTCACAATTTTCAAAGCCAAGAACTAACCATGTGAAAAAGTATCTATAGTTACATTAAAAAGATCTAAATATTGAGCTTTATTTTGTTACCATAAAGTGCTTAGCAAAATGTCATAACTTGGATCCCTATATAGAGGATCGAATGCTTGAAAAAAATGTAAATTCACTACTTACATATTAACTTGGAGTCAACGTAAATTCTTTTTTTAGTTTCTCTTCAATTTGGATTAATACATAATCTAAGTTGATCATGGGCCAACACTATATAAATACACGATAAGCTTTCCAGTACAATGTTATATGAAGTACAATATTCTGCATGCAAATGAAATAACGAATAAATAATTTAGAAAAACGTAAGATTACTTGTAACTGAGTCCAACTTAAGCGTTGTTTCATTAAGACGTTTTTGCCCGACACACGTAGCAATCGTCTCCCAGGATAGAACGGTTCTTCTCTCCCAACGGGATTTCGGCGAACTCAAAGATGCAATGAAGGAAGATATTATATGGAGGATTGTGTGATGATTTTCGGATTGATGGAAAATGTTGGCAGTCATGGGTATATATAGAGCTCTGGCCAGGAGTCTCTGCACCCAAAAGATACCTTTAGAAAGAAAGGTCGTGACCCTCCTTCTAAAACCAAAGGATGTGTCTATTTCCAAACATTATCCAAAATTGAGAGCGACTAATAGAGTTATCTTTAAGCCATATACTCGGGCGGACGGTTTAAGACTCTAACCCGAAACTCGACCCGGCCAACTGAACGGCGGTGACGGTGTTTGCGTGTGAGATATAATTTCACACTTATCTTTCGGGAAACAATTTCTCATTCATTTCAAAATGATTTTTACAAATAATATTAATGACCATAATATTAATTTGTAAAATCATTTTTCCAACAATCCCCCCACATGAATGGGAAATTGGCTTAAAGACAAGAAACGGATTGGAATTTGACATGGGAAGATGGGAACTCTGCATAGGGTTAGGTAGTCGTGAAACTTTGAACCTACCTTAGTGTATATCCATCGGATTTACTGGACAATCGGTAGCACTTTGCTTTGAACCATCAGCCAATGTGTAAACCTAGACAATGAATAACACACAGAGCCTTGAGTGCATCTTTGGTTCTCACGTTTGTGTTCGTTTCGGACGTAAACACTTCCTGGTTCAGCTAGTGTTTTCAAGAGTTTATCGTGCACCGGAGAATTTATCTCGTGCCATAAACTCTCATAGAAGCGGCCTTCTTCCACCAGCATAGGTGATCTCTATGGAAGGTATCATGCCATACCTTACTTGAACGAATCAAGATATAGAGATCATTAAAAGCGTAACTTACCCTAAATGCTCTTGGCATGAGTGTACTATATCTTGGCTAGTACCGCCCGAGCCAGTCCACAGTTGTGTTTTCCCTTTGAACCTATTTATGAGGCACTCTCAATAATAGGTAGTGTTTCCCCATGAACTTTTATTGGATCATTGGCCGTAGGCCCATCACTCTCCTTGACGTCTCGACCAACTCTCTTGGTAGAGGTTTGGTTAGCGGATCCGCAATATTTTCTTTCGACTTAACATAGTCAAGAGAGATGGTCCCATTTTTTATTAGTTTTTTAATGGTATTATGTCTACGACGGATGTGTCTAGACTTACCATTGTAAACTGCATTCCTTGCCCTTCCAATTGCAGCTTGACTATCACAATGAATGGATATTGGAGGGACAGGCTTTTCCCAACAAGGAAGATCTTCCGAAAACTCTCTCAACCATTCAGCTTCTTCTCCATGAATTCAGCTTCCATGGTAGATCTAGCAATACATGTTTGTTTGGAAGATTTCCACGACACATCACCACTTCCAAGGGTAAACACATATCCACTCGTTGATTTTGTGTTCTTGGAATCGGATATCCAATTTGCATCGGTATATCCCTCAAGCACGGCTGGATATTTTTGAAAATGTACACCATAGTCTTTGGTATACATCAAATACTCAATCACCCTTATAAGCGCTTTCCAGTGTTCTCTACCGGGGTTTATTGAAAATCGGCTTAGCTTATTCACAGTCTGAGCTATATCGGGTCATGTGCCATTCATGACATATGTTAAACATCCTATGACCCGAGGATAGTCATCTGGTGAACACTGCAATCAAAAGGAGTTCTCATGGGTTTGATATCATACTTCTTGAATCTCTCAAGCATTTTCTCAATGTAGTGTGATTGAGATAATATCAACCCTTCAGGAGTTCTGGTGATTTTAATTCCTAGAATTACATCCGCAACACCGAGATCCTTCATTTCAAATTTCTTGGCCAACATACTCTTTGTGTAGCCTTTATCAAATTTTTTTTACTACCGAAAATGAGCATATCATCTACGTATAGACAAACTATGACGTAGTCATTTTGATTGCCTTTCACATACACACATTTGTCGGCCTCTTTGATTTTGAATCCATTTGACAGCATTACACTATCAAATTTATCATGCCATTGTTTGGGGGCTTGCTTTAACCCATAAAGAGATTTTACTAAGCGACAAACCTTTCTTTCTTGTCCCGGGACAGTAAAACCTTCAGGTTGTTGCATGTAAATCTCTTCCTCTAAGTCACTATTTAAGAATGCAGGTTTTACATCCATTTGATGGATTTCCAAACCCTTCAATGCAGCTATTGCCAATAGCATTCGAATTGAAGTTATTCTTGTAACTGGAGAGTAGACATCAAAGTAGTCAAATTCTCCCTTTTGGTTGTATCCTTTGGCAACCAATCGAGCTTTGTACTTCTCAATTGTTCCATCAGTTCTTCTTTTCTTTTTGAAGATCCATTTGCATCCTAGAGGTTTAGACCCAGGAGGCAAATCTACAACTTTCCAAACGTGATTAGACATGATGGAATCAATTTCACTCTTGATAGCCTCTTGCCATTGGGCAGCGTCTGGTGAGGACATGGCTTCCTTATAAGTTTGAGGCTCATCATCTAGAAGGTATACAACAAAACTGGGTCCAAAATCTTTTGATTTTTGAGCCCTTTTGCTGCGTCTCACTTCACATTCTTGCGCTATTTCGTTGTTATCTTTTATAGAATCAAAAGGCCTCTTATGTGAGTTTGTTTCTTCGGCATAGGTTGGAATGACAACATCCATGTTGGAATGACAACATCCATGCACTACTATTTTGTGCATATCCAACAAAGACACAATCAATGGTCTTTGGTCCAAGTTTTGTCCTCTTAGGTTTGGGAATAGCTACTTTAGCTAGACATCCCCACACCTTCAAGTAATTAAAACTTGGCTTGCGCCCTTGCCATAACTCATATGGAATTTTGAGAGTTTTCTTGTGAGGCATTCTATTTAGAATGTAGTTGGCAGCTAAAATAGCATCCCCCCACAAGTCATTTGGTGCACGAGAACTTACTAACATGGCATTAACCATGTCCTTTAAAGTCCTATTCTTCCTTTCAGCTACTCCATTTGATTGAGGCATATAAGGAGCGGTTAATTGATGAATAATTCCACTTTCCAAACAAATTGATTCAAATGGATATTCATACTCACCACCTCTGTCACTCCTTAGTGCCTTAATATTCTTACCAAGTTGATTTTCAACTTCGGCTT